AGAGAGCAGAACGTTAGAGATTGAACTAACAGATTCTGCAGAGTGGGAGAATAGAGATAGAATGAGGAAAAAAGAGTCCCTATGTCCTCCAGCTGTCTAAGCTTATAGCAGCATAACTATAGAGATAGCTCAGGATAACCTGAGCCACTCTAACTAGAAGCTTTATCAAAAAGGAAAGTTTTAAGCCTACCCTTATAAGTACCATTCTACTTTTAGAAATTCTAGGAGCTGCTAGGAACAGTCAGTAACAGGAGAGACCTCTATCCATGCAGCTCAGATCATAAAAGGGTGGAAGAAAACAGGCGGCTTGAGCTTTTCTGGGAATTTTAACACAAAGGTGATGGTGATAAAAATGAGGCAGCGTCTCTGTAACTGGAGTTGAGTGGGATGTTACTAGTTTTCAGTTATCTACAGCCAACAGTAGCAGACCTCTTCATTTCCCGCCATAGTGGGAGAAGAACTCAGGAGGTGGAGCTACTGGTCACACCATGTTAAAGGTCCCACATCCTGTTTTTTGAGTCTTCCAAGGTCAACTGTAGACATGATGAAACATGGCTTTTGGCACTACTGGGTATTTATTAGTTGGGGACCCAGAATAGTGATACTTGCCTTCACTGTGAGGCCGCCTCTCCTTGTCCTGCAGTAGCAGAGCTACATGATCTTCATAGATGGGTTTAGAGAGGAACAAATGTGGGCTGAGGGGCGACCAAAACCAGTTCAGAGTCAATCTAATCTGTTTCAGCAGGAAAATCAACGTGCAAAACATCCTTAGTTTCCAAATAAACCACCGCATGCATAAAGTCTGTGCCAGGGGTAACCAATTAAAAATCAGCAGGGTCCGAATAAAGAAAATCAACAACCAGAAAATGTCAGGAGACATTTTTAATTATAATCTGTTAATTTAAACAGAAGTTAACACTAAAATTAAATGAGGTGCTTATGCAGCCATGGTATATATTGAAATTTTAAATACATTTTAAAATCTAAAATGTCTTTTGAAGTGGAGAACAATAATTGTTAAGTTTGGTATATAGACAATTTCCTGATTCAAATATTTTATAAAATGGAGACAAAGCCATTCTAAAGCACATATCAAGGAGCTCATTTTGAGCCTGGATCCATATTTATTTTTGATTCTGTTCATGGTGGAGAATCCTGCTTCACAGCAGCAGGTTGAGCCAAACATACTCTAAATGTTCAGGGTCATCTTTGAGCACCATTTCACTTTTCTTTCACCAGTTCACCACAGTTCTTCCAGCAGTCCACACTTTCTCTGCTCTCTTTTTCTCATCATCTTCTCCTTCTTTCCCATCGCCCGGCTTGCCACATGTTTGCCTGCAGTGTCTAAAAGTAGCAGCAGCAGCAGCAACCCAGACTGACAGCAGCTCATTGGATAATTTGGATCACGTTTAGCCTGGTCCCGACACTCTGGAGGGATTTACCGTATTAACAGGAGAAGCGGAGCAAGTGAATTAGACACTGCCAATGGTCAACATGTAGTAATTCATAAATGTTTTACATCAGGTTGGGTCCGGATTAGCCAGCAGGCAGGTCCGGGTACAGACTGCGGTCCACTAATCTGTGACCTCTGACATAGACTCATGAGGCATAAGAAGCAGGAGATGACATTGTTCAGGAATCATTTTCCGGATGTCATTGCGTGCTGATGATTTGAGTCCACAGCTGTGCCGAATTTCTCTGTCCTGTAACAGTCTGAACTGGAATTAACTCTGTTAATTTTTACTGTTGTTTTTAGTCATTTAGAAATTGTTTTACCAAATTTTGACTAAGAGTAATTAAACCAAGTAGGTTGCTCCCAGGAAAAGAAGAGGAAGGGAGTTTCTAAGGTGTAATCACCTTCAGGGGAAGATAACTCTCTATTTTAACAAAGTTCAGAGCATTTCAAGACAAATATTTATGGTGCAAATATGCAGTATTTTGGTTTGGTGTTATCAGTGTGATGCAGAGTCTGTGGCTTGATTTAGAGATATCTTGCGTCTGTTTTCCTGTTTAGGGTTTGGAAAACTCCCTGTGTGTGATGAGGAATCTGTCATACCAGCTGTACGCGGAGCTTCCTCCCTCAGTGCGCCTCCAGCTGGAAGGTCCATCGAGAGCCTCCGCTTCCAGAACCTCTGAGATTATTGGCTGCTTCACTGTTCAGAGCAAAAAGAAAAATCAGGTGAGCGTCTCCATTCACAGACACTCCTATAGGTTTCTCCATGTTCTTAACCCCCTGTTGGTCCTTTCCTCACAGCTTCAGCACAGGAATCTGCCCATGCTGTCGCACCCAAAGGGCTCTGAGTGGCTGTGGCACCCCAAAGTGGTAGCGCTCTACAAGCACGCCCTGCAGAACAGCGAAGGCAGCGCGGCCGCCCAGGAGGCTGCGGTGGGAGCCCTGCAGAACGTCACATCAGGAGAGGCGCGGGTAGGCTCAGACGGAGCAACGGTTTCCGTTTCCTTCCCATAATGGCGTCAGTCAGTGTCTCATAACCTCACTGCTTTTTCCATTTTGGAAATAGATGGGGAAACAACTATTTGTCAAAATGTATTTCATTATACCTTATAGAAAAATGGAGAGCAGATTAAAAATAAAATTAGTTTCCATCCTAAATTAGATACTGTATATAAAAGACAGATGAAGAGGATAGAGTTCTTTTCATTCTCTTATCTTTATAAGCTGCATCAGAAATACCTGAGTCTGCTTAAAGCTGAACACGTCAGCGTCAACAAATCAGCTGTTCTGACGCAGGATCTGATTTTTAATCCTAAATTCTATTTTTTTAAAATCACTATCAGTTCAATAATAAATTCAGTACAAAAAGATGAATTCCACAGATTAATTATTTTGTATTTACAAGAACTCTGCAGATTGGGTGAATAGAGATAGAATGAAGCAGAATGATGAAATAGTGGTCCCTATGTCCTCCAGCTGTCTAAGCTTATAGCAGCAGAACTATAGAGATAGCTCAGGATAACCTGAGCCTAGCCTAGCCTTAAAAGTAGACAGGGTGTCTGCCTTATGGACTAAAACTGGTAGT